TGTACTAGACTCCTGGTACTAGACTCCTGGCTCTAGACTCCTGGCGCTAGAAGCCTGGAACTAGACTCCTGGTCCTAGACTCCTGGTACTAGACTCCTGGTACTAGACTCCTAGTACCAGACTCCTGGTACTAGACTCCTAGTACTAGACTCCTGGTGCTAGACTCCTAGTGCTAGACTCCTGGTGCTAGACTCCTGGAACTAGACTCCTGGTAGTAGACTCCTGGTACTAGACTCCTGGTGCTAGACTCCTGGTACTAGACTCCTGGTACTAGACTCCTGGTACTAGACTCCTGGCTCTAGACTCCTGGTACTAGACTCCTGGTACTAGACTCCTGGTGCTAGACTCCTGGTACTAGACTCCTGGCTCTAGACTCCTGGTGCTAGACTCCTGGTACTAGACTCCTGGTACTAGACTCCTGGTACTAGACTCCTGGTGCTAGACTCCTGGTACTAGACTCCTGGCTCTAGACTCCTGGCGCTAGACTCCTGGAACTAGACTCCTGGTCCTAGACTCCTGGTACTAGACTCCTAGTACTAGACTCCTGGTACTAGTACTAGACTCCTGGTACTAGACTCCTGGTGCTAGACTCCTGGTACTAGACTCCTGGTACTAGACTCCTGGTACTAGACTCCTGGTGCTAGACTCCTGGTACTAGACTCCTGGTGCTAGACTCCTGGTACTAGACTCCTGGTACTAGACTCCTGGTACTAGACTCCTGGTGCTAGACTCCTGGTACTAGACTCCTGGTACTAGACTCCTGGTGCTAGACTCCTGGTACTAGTACTAGACTCCTGGTGCTAGGCTCCTGGTACTAGACTCCTGGTACTAGACTCCTGGTACTAGACTCCTGGTGCTAGACTCCTGGTACTAGACTCCTGGTGCTAGACTCCTGGTGCTAGACTCCTGGTGCTAGACTCCTGGTACTAGACTCCTGGTGCTAGACTCCTGGTACTAGTACTAGACTCCTGGTGCTAGACTCCTGGTACTAGACTCCTGGTACTAGACTCCTGGTACTAGACTCCTGGTGCTAGTACTAGACTCCTGGTACTAGACTCCTAGTACTAGACTCCTGGAACTAGACTCCTGGTACTATCTCCTAGTACTAGACTCCTGGTACTAGACTCCTGGAACTAGACTCCTGGTACTAGACTCCTGGAACTAGACTCCTGGAACTAGACTCCTAGTACTAGACTCCTGGTACTAGACTCCTAGTCCTAGACTCCTGGAGCTAGACTCCTGGTGCTAGACTCCTGGTACTAGACTCCTGGTGCTAGACTCCTAGTACTAGACTCCTGGAACTAGACTCCTGGAACTAGACTCCTAGTACTAGACTCCTGGAACTAGACTCCTGGTAGTAGACTCCTGGTACTAGACTCCTGGTGCTAGACTCCTGGTACTAGACTCCTGGTACTAGACTCCTGGTACTAGACTCCTTGTACTAGACTCCTGGTACTAGACTCCTGGCTCTAGACTCCTGGTAGTAGACTCCTGGTACTAGACTCCTAGTACCAGACTCCTGGTACTAGACTCCTAGTACTAGACTCCTGGTGCTAGACTCCTAGTGCTAGACTCCTGGTGCTAGACTCCTGGAACTAGACTCCTGGTAGTAGACTCCTGGTACTAGACTCCTGGTGCTAGACTCCTGGTACTAGACTCCTGGTACTAGACTCCTGGTACTAGACTCCTTGTACTAGACTCCTGGTACTAGACTCCTGGCTCTAGACTCCTGGCGCTAGACTCCTGGAACTAGACTCCTGGTCCTAGACTCCTGGTACTAGACTCCTGGTACTAGACTCCTAGTACCAGACTCCTGGTACTAGACTCCTAGTACTAGACTCCTGGTGCTAGACTCCTAGTGCTAGACTCCTGGTGCTAGACTCCTGGAACTAGACTCCTGGTAGTAGACTCCTGGTACTAGACTCCTGGTGCTAGACTCCTGGTACTAGACTCCTGGTACTAGACTCCTGGTACTAGACTCCTTGTACTAGACTCCTGGTACTAGACTCCTGGCTCTAGACTCCTGGCGCTAGACTCCTGGAACTAGACTCCTGGTCCTAGACTCCTGGTACTAGACTCCTAGTACTAGACTCCTGGTACTAGTACTAGACTCCTGGTGCTAGACTCCTGGTACTAGACTCCTGGTACTAGACTCCTGGTACTAGACTCCTGGTGCTAGACTCCTGGTGCTAGACTCCTGGTACTAGACTCCTGGTACTAGACTCCTGGTACTAGACTCCTGGTGCTAGACTCCTGGTACTAGACTCCTGGTACTAGACTCCTGGTGCTAGACTCCTGGTACTAGACTCCTGGTGCTAGACTCCTGGTGCTAGACTCCTGGTGCTAGACTCCTGGTACTAGACTCCTGGTGCTAGACTCCTGGTACTAGTACTAGACTCCTGGTGCTAGACTCCTGGTACTAGACTCCTGGTGCTAGACTCCTGGTGCTAGACTCCTGGTGCTAGACTCCTGGTACTAGACTCCTGGTGCTAGACTCCTGGTACTAGACTCCTGGTACTAGGACTCCTGGTACTAGACTCCTGGTACTAGTACTAGAACTCCTGGTGCTAGGCTCCTGGTACTAGACTCCTGGTACTAGAACTCCTGGTACTAGACTCCTGGTGCTAGACTCCTGGTACTAGACTCCTGGTGCTAGACCTCCTGGTGCCTAGACTCACTGGTGCTAGACTCCTGTACTAGACTCCTGGTGCTAGACTCCTGGTACTAGTACTAGACTCCTGGTGCTAGACTCCTGGTACTAGACTCCTGGTGCTAGACTCCTGGTGCTAGACTCCTGGTGCTAGACTCCTGGTGCTAGACTCCTGGTGCTAGACTCCTGGTACTAGACTCCTGGTGCTAGACTCCTGGTACTAGTACTAGACTCCTGGTGCTAGGCTCCTGGTACTAGACTCCTGGTACTAGACTCCTGGTACTAGACTCCTGGTGCTAGACTCCTGGTACTAGACTCCTGGTGCTAGACTCCTGGTACTAGACTCCTGGTACTAGACTCCTGGTACTAGACTCCTGGTGCTAGTACTAGACTCCTGGTACTAGACTCCTGGTACTAGACTCCTGGTACTAGACTCCTGGTACTGGTACTAGACTCCTGGTACTAGACTCCTGGTGCTAGTACTAGACTCCTGGTTCTAGACTCCTGGTACTAGACTCCTGGTTCTAGGATGGGTTAAAAGCAGAGAACACATTTCACAGTGTGCTCTGCATGTGAGACCATTAAAGAGGGTTTCATCCCTCCCAATTCTATCTATCTCTATCTATTGAAGTCTTATGTGAATCGGGAGCCAATGCAATGAGGACAGGCGTGACGTGATCAAAGGTTCTGGTTCTGGTTCATATCCCGGCAGCGGTGTGTTTTGAACCAGTTGTAGTTTTGCGGTTGTTAATCTTCGAATCGTCCCTCTGAGTTTCATCCTCACACTGCTGTGTTTTATTATTTCATATACACGGAGAAAGGAGGACAGGAAGCACGTCTTGTTTTTCTACATCTGTTTAATGCCACTGACCTCAGATCAGTTTCCACAGGGTTATAGATTTACTACAAACAGCAGTGAGACGACATCTCCTTCTTCTTCTTCTTCTTCTGTACAACAGGAAGTAATCCTCAAACAGGAAGTTCAATCAGTGCTTTACATCCAAAACAAATCATTTCAAAACAAAATAAAATGACAGCGTAATATTAGCACTGGTGAGCTGCACGAACACGGATCATTTTACAATCAAAACACGTCAGAGTATTTAAAGATAAGGATGACTATATAAGGTCAATCTGGTATTTATATATAAATTAATGCTATATATTTATTTATCAAAGACGATGGATAAAACTCCTTTAAATGCTGCTGAGTTATTATTTAAAGGTTAATACATATTCGTTATATTACATTGTAGTAATGCACGGTGCCTTCAGGCGTCTTCTTATTGCTCTCGTTGATTTGAATTATATTTATATTAATTAAAACTGTCTTCTAAGTCACTTTGTATTTAAAAAAAGTATAATTTAAAAGCACATGGTTTCACTCCTCTTTGTGTTCAAACTCAGGTGACAGCAGCGTGAAGAGGATTTATATAAATACACATGTCTCAGAGCAGAACAGAGACGTTGTAATACACAGTGTTCACATCTTGCTGGGAATACTTACAAAACTAAAACACTCAAATTAAAGTTGAGGATAAAAAATGAAGCTTAAAAAACTGATTTCACTCTGAAATAAAACAGTGATGGTCCCTTTAATTAGTTTCATCAATATATATAATATCAGTCTCTCGTACTCAGAGGTGGGAAGTAACTCAGTCCATCAACATTACTTAAGTACACTTTAGAGGTACTTGTACTTTACTTGAGTATCTCCATTTTCTGCTACTGTGTACTTATACTCCTCGACAGTTCAGAGGTACATGGTGTACTTCTACTCCTCTACATTTCAGAGGTACATGGTGTACTTCTACTCCTCTACAGTTCAGAGGTACATGGTGTACTTATACTCCTCTACAGTTCAGAGGTACATGGTGTACTTCTACTCCACTACAGTTCAGAGGTACATGGTGTACTTCTACTCCTCTACAGTTCAGAGGTACATGGTGTACTTCTACTCCACTACAGTTCAGAGGTACATGGTGTACTTATACTCCTCTACAGTTCAGAGGTACATGGTGTACTTATACTCCTCTACAGTTCAGAGGTACATGGTGTACTTATACTCCTCTACAGTTCAGAGGTACATGGTGTACTTCTACTCCTCTACAGTTCAGAGGTACATGGTGTACTTTTCCTCCACTACATGTATTAATACCTTTAGTTACTTCACAGATGTGGATGAATGATGTGAAATATAATCAAGTGTTAAATCAGACTTTAGTTCCACCTGGAGTAAATCCACAAGCTACCCTGCAGTATACAAAGTCATTCAAACTAGCTGCACCTTTACCAGCTTTGAGAACACTTTCATGATCAATCATTATAAAACATATCATATATATTATTCTGAAATGGACCAATCTGCACAACGACTACTTTTACTGTCCCTAAAGTACCAGATCTGAGTACTTCCTCCACCTCTGTTCATACTGTAATGCCTCAGCGTCAGTAGAGCTGAACGTCACTGAGAACAGATAAAACACTATATACTGTATATATATATTAAATACTAATAATTCTCTGTGTGATTCGAAGCACACATTACATGTTAGTTCCTCAGAGATCCTCCTGCAGACTTCAGGACACACGGTTCCTTCAGTTCAGCTTAAAGTAATTTCAATATCTTCTCATTTTCACAACAACTGGTTTCGCTTTGTCATCACTGTTTTTGTTTAGTATTTATTAATGAAACTCCAAAGAAAACGCTCTATTTAACAGTTTTTCTGTCGGTGCTCTTATTGTGAAGTCAACAGGAAATGAAAGTGAACCATGCCACAATAAATATCACAGTTATTATTATTAATATTATTATATATACCGTTAATAATATAATGCATGTAAAAATCATTCAAAAATGAATATAGTATTACAATTTTTGAAAAAGAAAAAGAAATCCTAAGAGATAGCTTAACCCTCATGGACAGGTAACTGCAAGCTAGCTAGCATCATGAGCTACATTGGCATTAGCTTAACCCTCATGGACAGGTAACGGCAAGCTAGCTAGCATCATGAGCTACATTGGCATTAGCTTAACCCTCATGGACAGGTAACGGCAAGCTAGCTAGCATCATGAGCTACATTGGCATTAGCTTAACCCTCATGGACAGGTAACGGCAAGCTAGCTAGCATCATGAGCTACATTGGCATTAGCTTAACCCTCATGGACAGGTAACGGCAAGCTAGCTAGCATCATGAGCTACATTGGCATTACAGTACAGTTTGAACACAGACGCTAGCCTGTGCTCAATTATAGGAAATATACATATTATTAATGTGGTTTTATTTTAATTTAGCTTTAATCTTTGACATGTTTAGAAACACTGTAATCTGTAGTCCAGCTGAAGGACTACAGATAGCTTTAGCTGGTAGAGTAGCATTAGCATTAGCTGAGGTTTAATCATAGAAAATACAACTGGATCTGGATTTCCTGATTTACTTTAGCTTGCTTATTAGTGTTAGCTGCTATCTTAGCATTGGTGTTTCTCCTACAACAAAACTGTCCTTCAGAAATGGAAAACAAACAGCTAGCTTGTTAGCGTTCGCTGAGCTTCAGTTGATGACAAGCTTTTGGGATATTTCTTGAAAGTATTGAGCGTTTCTTTCTCCCATTCTAACTTAAGACGTCATGATGCTAACACTAAGAGCATCAGCAGGACGCTCAGAGCTCTGCAGGCTTTCACAGACAGGAAGTAAAGATGGTGAAAGGGTTCTTGTTCTCAGTGATGCTCGGGTGTCTTCATCAACAGGTGTACTTCTATTTCACACACAACCTTTTTTAATATCTCTACACACTTTATTTAAAGAGACGCCAGCTGCACTTCTCAAAACCCCCTTATCTCCGGAGGAGTCAGGAGGTTTTCACTGGACGTCAGTGGAGGCGGAGCAATGACTACATTTCCCATCATGCCCTGGGGCGGTCAGGGGGCGGTGGGCCGGGCTTCTGGTTCAGGGAGTATTCTCATAATAACTATTACATTAAATGAAAGATTCCTGGCAGTGGTATCATAACAAATAAAACAATAACATCTACAATAATAATAAATTAAAATTTTCAAAATAAAAGGTTCAACATTTCAAAATAAAAGTAATAAGAAGTATGAAGGATATATAAATAAGTGTTACTGATTTCACACTTTATATATTTTTATATTCGTGTTTTCGGTTCTGATTTTTAGTAAAAAACGTGTTTCTCATTAAATCATAAATAATAAGTTCTTCTGTGAATTTCATATAAATTAAAATAAGCAAATATTTACAACTTTTCCTTAAATATTGATAATTATAATGTAGTAAACGTTAGCATTAATAAGCAATATAACACTTAATAAATTGTTTATAACACAACAGATAAAAGGACTTAACAGCATTTATTATCAGTGGATTTGACAATAATTATAACTTGTCATTAAAGTGAAGAAGAATCTTTTTTTTTTCTTGATATAGTTAACAATAAAAATGCGCTGATATCTGCGGAAAGAGTGTGTTATAAACTATTTATTATTTTATAATTATTTAAATGCTAAATAGGGGTTTTAAAAAGGGGGGGGGGGGGGCAAGCGGGAGAAAGCTTGTGAAATAGAAAGTGATTTAGTTAACGTTGGGAATGCAGAGGGGACGTTTCAGGGCGATATCTAGTTCATATTTCACCCTATTCACCTGCGTCTTATTTTGAAATTCCACTCCAATCCATATTGTGATCAGTTGTTCACGGCCCTCAGTTTAAAGACTACGCTACCCATGATCCTCGGGGTTTGGTTCAATGCTGCAGGTCAGAGAAACTACTTCCTGTCCCAGAGGCGTGGCCCACCGGTTGCCCCCGGGTCGATCAATAACCCACTGACCGGGATCGGGACCCCGATCGATCGGCAGGTGAGAGAGAGGCGCTGGACGCTCAGGAGCTCGAGGTACCGGCAGGAATAATAAAAAAATAAAAAGGAATCGGGAGGATCGATGTGACGCACAGGAAACTGGACAACATCCAATAAATCTACCAAAATAAAAGCCATTGGAAAAACTGTTCTTTCAAAATAAAAGACATCCTCTGGTTGGAGGACGGCTGACGGCTACAAGCGGAGAAAAGGCGAGTTTGTGTGTGTTTGGGATGACAGATGGTGTGTGTGTGTGTGTGTGTGTGTGTGTGTGTGTGTGTCCAAAAGTCCTGATGCTATCGTTCTCTACTTCCTGTCTCAGAGGATGCTCAGTCTGTCTTTCTGTGTGTGTATGGGTTTGTGTGTGTGTGTGTGTGTGTGTGTGTGTGTGTGTCCTCTCTCAGACCACGGTGCTGACGGAGGGATCCGATAGGTTGAGCTGGCCGGTGATGTCAGTCGGGTACGGCTGCAGAGACAAAAACAGAAAAACACACGTTAGTTATTCACACCTCGACACACACACACACACACACACACACACACACACACACACACACACACACACACACACACACACACACACACACACACACACACACACACACACACACACACACACACACACACACACACACACAGGTTCGGCCTGAGATCAAAGTTTCACTGAACATATTGTTTAATTTTTAACACAATCTTTACTCTTGAAAATAACAACTTAAGTAGATGAATTCTACTACTAATAATATTATTATTATTTTTTCATATAATTATTATTACTGTTATTATTATTTATTTATTATAATATTAATAATGATAGTAAAATACATTTTTTTGTTCACATTATTTAATATTAAAACTCTGCTTTTGGGTAAATTATTTATATTCAATCTTAATAAAGTACTTAAAAAATAACAAAGCAAATATAATTTATTTTGGGAGAAATACACATAGCTAGAAACCTACGAGAGGAAGCACACTGTGAAATATAACAGAGACCCTTGCTCTGCTCTGAAGCTGGACAGGAAGCTGTATTTTCAGAATAAAGGTCAGTCGTGCTTGCAGAGGAGGACAGAGGCAGTGTGTGTAGCATGAACACCATTCAAATCCAGCCAGAGAGAAACAGTCGTAAGATACAAAGAGACGGTCACAGAGAGACACCAGATACCCCCCCCACCCTAAAGATAATATGTACGACAATCGAAACACAGGGATTTTAGCGTCTGTAGACCCTTTACGTGCACTGAAACCCTGAAGATTACTATTTTAAATAAAGAACATATCAGTGTAGTTCATGCCACGAGATAATTCCATTCTCGTTGTCGACTGTCGTGCATATGTTGCCCCTTCACAATAAAACAACATCTGGACGGAGAGGGGACGCAACATGTCCGTCTGCTGTGGATTTCAAAAGACAGAAGAGACAGAAACAGAAGACACATTTCATCAACCCTTTGAAAGCCTTTATTCTGAAGGCAGGCTGAAAGCAGAGACACGTTTATTATCCGGAGACATCGGCGAGGACGAGACACTGAAAACAAGACGAGTTAGAGAGGACAGGAAACAACGCTCTGCGCGAAGACCCGCGAGGATTAAAAGACTCTGAGGACGACCATCACCAGAGAGAGGGGGGGAGGAAGGGACAGACAGGGGGACAGACAGGACGAAGACTAACAAAGGACAGACAGGACGAAGACTAACAAAGGACAGACAGGACAAAGACTAACAAAGGACAGACGGGACAAAGAGAAAATGTGAGGACTGAAGGATAGACACTACAAGAGGACAGACATGACAACAAGACTAACACAGGATAGACATGACGTTAGGACAGAGAGGACAGACAGGACCAAGACAAACAGAGGACAAACCACACACTCTTCATTTCTCCTTTGCAAGAGGACGACTCAAAGTGGACAAAAAAGACCTCTGATCATACCTAATACTGTCTGTCTGTCTGTCTGTCTGTCTGTCTGTCTGTCTGTCTGTCTGTCTGTCTGTCTGTCTGTCTGTCTGTCTGTCTGTCTGTCTGTCTGTCTGTCTGTCTGTCTGTCTGTCTGTAGATACTGAGTCTGGAGGTGAGGATGAGGAGAGAGGAAGGGTGGGCTGGGTATTTTCAAAATAAAAGACACCAGTGGACTGCACCCGCACTGCGAGGGGGACCCAAGTTCCCATCAGCAGAAACACGTGGGTTTGCTATCCTGGCTCCAACATGGAGGAATGAGCTCCCCATTGACATCAGGACAGCAGAAAGCTTACACATCTTCTTCAGACTGAAGACTCATCTCTTTCCACTCCACTTCGAGCCATAGAATCACTAACAAAGCACTTATATACTAACAAAGCACTTATATACTAACAAAGCACTTATATACTAACAAAGCACTTATATACTAACAAAGGACTGGCTTATCTAAAGCCAGTTGAGTAGCACTTGAAATGTTTTGGCTCTATGAAACCTGATGTACTTATATGATTCTGTTTTCTTCTAGTTTGTATCTTGTTGGTCGAATGCACTTATTGTAAGTCGCTTTGGATAAAAGCCTCAGCTAAATGCGATGTAAATGTATATGTGTAATAATACAGGTATCAAAATGATGACGAGATAACTTCATACTAATACCGATTAGTTAAACCATGAAGTAATGCTTCGGCAAATCTGTTGGATCGATCAGGCTAGGCTAACATGTAGCTGTACCGTCCACACTCACAATAACATCACACTGACAGTCTGTTGTTTGTACATATAAACGCTGGTCTTTACCCAGTTTCTGGACAGATATGAGGTACTGTGTGCTAACAGCTAACAGCTAACAGCTACTGTTTGGTTTTCTGATTCAAACCTGTCAGTGACGACGGGCTGAGATCCTCATTGCTGATTGGCTTTCGCAAGACAGCGTCGCGCAAATTGAGAAAATGTAACTCTTGCAAAAGAAGCGGGGGGAAATTGACTTTGCGTCCAGTATGAGCGCACCATAACACCCCTCAGTTGAGGTCAACATCCTAACTATAAACAGCGAGGGTTGTTCCGTGCTTCCCCCCCTGAGGTGCCGGTGGTTTTCCAGGACTGCTTTGGAGCTGACCAAGGGTCCATGGCTTCTCCGAACTCCCCTCACGCTGCTTTGCCTCGGCCACGGCTTCCCCTCAGGCTGTCAGTACCTTGCCAGTCTTAAGTCATTTTAAAATTCTCTTTTGCTCAATATATTTCCAAGGAACCTTTGAGGTCATCTCTGGTAAACACAAGATTTAAGTTTGAGCTTTAGCATTCTGCTACTTGAATCAACAGCTTAGAGTACGGGTACCCAGCCCTGAAGGGAGAGGAGACATGACGGCGAATGACCAACGCAAAGATTGGTTTGGATGGAAAAGAACTGAAGAGAGAAAATAAAGAAGACGGACAAAAAGGATGAGCAAAGACACACATATGAGAGGTAAGAGGGGCAGGACGGAGGACAGGAAGTGGTCTTCGTCTCCTTACCGTGGCGTCCCCGGAGGCAACACGGCGTTTGAGGTCGGAGGTCGCAGTGATGGACCTAAAAGAGGTTTGGGACTCGGCCTCTGCTCTACTTTTCCTATCCTAAAATAAACAATACGATAGGTGCACACACACATTAACACAGCTACACTCACACGTAGTATAGTGATTAGGATATGCACTAATTTAATACTTACTATTAACAACAATTAACGCCCATCAAGGGACTCGTGTTGGAAATAGCTTGCTGCAGGAATGACTTGTTAAACCCTAAATCGACTGAGCAGTTTGGTGCTTCCTGTCCCCTCCACTAAAAGTCAATGGTTCTCTGAATGTGTTTTTGGTTGTTATCCTGAAATAAGGTCTGTGGTTAAAACAGGCTGAAGAGATTTAAACGTTTTGTTCTACCACATAAAATACTTCAGTAAATACCCCACTGGTTGCTAACAAGTTTCTAAATGAGACGACTAAACTTAATCACGCCCAAGATTAGCCGCCTTTAGCTTAGCGGTGGTGACGTGAAGTCATGTGACCGTGCTGTAGTTCCTTTATAGCCCAACATTAGCCGCCTTTAGCTTAGCGGTGGTAACGTGAAGTCATGTGACCGTGCTGTAGTTCCTTTATAGCCTAACATTAGCCACCTTTAGCTTAGCGGTGGTGACGTGAAGTCATGTGACCGTGCTGTAGTTCCTTTATAGCCCAACATTAGCCACCTTTAGCTTAGCGGTGGTGACGTGAAGTCATGTGACCGTGCTGTAGTTCCTTTATAGCCCAACATTAGCCACCTTTAGCTTAGCGGTGGTGACGTGAAGTCATGTGACTGTGCTATACTGTAGTTCCTTTATAGCCCAACATTAGCCGCCTTTAGCTTAGCGGTGGTGACGTGAAGTCATGTGACCGTGCTGTAGTTCCTTTATAGCCCAACATTAGCCGCCTTTAGCTTAGCGGTGGTGACGTGAAGTCATGTGACCGTGCTGTAGTTCCTTTATAGCCCAACATTAGCCGCCTTTAGCTTAGCGGTGGTGACGTGAAGTCATGTGACCGTGCTGTAGTTCCTTTATAGCCCAACATTAGCCTCCTTTAGCTTAGCGGTGGTGACGTGAAGTCATGTGACTGTGCTATACTGTAGTTCCTTTATAGCCCAACATTAGCCGCCTTTAGCTTAGCGGTGGTGACGTGAAGTCATGTGACCGTGCTGTAGTTCCTTTATAGCCCAACATTAGCCGCCTTTAGCTTAGCGGTGGTAACGTGAAGTCATGTGACCGTGCTGTAGTTCCTTTATAGCCTAACATTAGCCACCTTTAGCTTAGCGGTGGTGACGTGAAGTCATGTGACCGTGCTGTAGTTCCTTTATAGCCCAACATTAGCCACCTTTAGCTTAGCGGTGGTGACGTGAAGTCATGTGACCGTGCTGTAGTTCCTTTATAGCCCAACATTAGCCACCTTTAGCTTAGCGGTGGTGACGTGAAGTCATGTGACTGTGCTATACTGTAGTTCCTTTATAGCCCAACATTAGCCGCCTTTAGCTTAGCGGTGGTGACGTGAAGTCATGTGACCGTGCTGTAGTTCCTTTATAGCCCAACATTAGCCGCCTTTAGCTTAGCGGTGGTGACGTGAAGTCATGTGACCGTGCTGTAGTTCCTTTATAGCCCAACATTAGCCGCCTTTAGCTTAGCGGTGGTGACGTGAAGTCATGTGACCGTGCTGTAGTTCCTTTATAGCCCAACATTAGCCTCCTTTAGCTTAGCGGTGGTGACGTGAAGTCATGTGACCGTGCTGTAGTTCCTTTATAGCCCAACATTAGCCTCCTTTAGCTTAGCGGTGGTGACGTGGAGTCATGTGACTGTGCTATACTGTAGTTCCTTTATAGCCCAACATTAGCCTCCTTTAGCTTAGCGGTGGTGACGTGAAGTCATGTGACTGTGCTATACTGTAGTTCCTTTATAGCCCAACATTAGCCGCCTTTAGCTTAGCGGTGGTGACGTGAGGTCATGTGACCATGCTGTAGTTCCTTTATAGCCTAACGTTAGCTTTTTACTAAGTGGTGTTAATATGTGGAGATGATCCAGCTGAACTAAACGTTTTTTTGAGAGATTATTTCTGACCAAATCTAAAACCCCATTGGCTTCTTGTGGAGGGAACCAGGGAGATGCTGCCTTCAGGGTCCTACACAGAAAACATTCCTGCAGCTCTCTATTGAGCTTTAGTTGTATACAGGACCTGCTTCTGCAACTACAACAAACTGGTTCCTGTTTCAGATGAGATGATGTTTCAGTAAAAACAGCTTCACTCTGTTTTACCGCCAAGAGCCACGAACAAACAACACGGGGCAGAAACACAAAGTACAGGAAGCCGGGGGGGGGGGGGGGGGGGGGGGGGTCCTGAATGAAGCAGGTAGTAAAGAAACCTCACCTGGTGTGTGTTGGTTGAACAGGAAACAGAGGGAGAGGGGGGGGGGGGGGGAGCACATGTATGATGGTGTTTTACCTTTCACATTTTATAAAGACATCACTAGTTTGACCTCTGACCCGTCACAGTGAAGGGCATCACATCTAACACACTTTATTATTAAATGTAAAATATAAGGTTATCTTAACAAACATTTCTATATCGTCAAATCCCATGTTGTGTTTGGTTTTAATCTGCTGTGTTTTCCTGCAAAGTGCTTTTTAATAGACTTTATTCGTTTTTAGTAGACAGTACTGTTGGCGAAAGCTACACATGGGACTTGAGGAAAAGAAGAACGATAGTGAATACTTTAAATGTTTAATAATACCCAGCCCTGTAACATATTCAGTTTGAAATGGAAATCAGAATCAATAAAACACATCGAGGATGAATAAAGAGTTTCATCAGCCTGTTTTCCAGCAGAGATAAAAAGCATGTTTCTAGATATTGATAAAACATTAGAGCCACAGAGCAGAGGAAGACTTTGATCATTGACATGGATAATAATAAACACCATGAACGCCGCCCTGCAGGTAATACTGCTGATCCTAACTGTGAACTGTCTACTTACACAACACACCATCAAACCTGTCCTCAATTATAATGCTGCAGCATGAAAAACCACCTCCAGAATACCAATAAAATGCCATCTTAACTGTCCAGAAATACCACCTTAACCCTACAAATACCACCTTAACCCTTAACCCTACAAAATACCACCTTAACCCTACAAAATACCACCTTAACCCTACAAATACCACCTTAACCCTACAAAATACCACCTTAACCCTACAAATACCACCTTAACCCTACAAAATACCACCTTAACCCTACAAATACCACCTTAACCCTACAAATACCACCTTAACCCTACAAAATACCACCTTAACCCTACAAATACCACCTTAACCCTACAAAATACCACCTTAACCCTACAAAATACCACCTTAACCCTACACTACGGATTATCAAAGACCCCCATCACCCCAGCCACAAACTGTTCTTTCTGTTGCCGTCTGGCAGACGTTACCGCAGCATCCGGGCAAGGACAAGAAGATTCGGAGACAGTTTCTTCCCGCGGGCAGTGAGACTGTTAAAAAATTGAACTGTTGAAACAACTTCAAACATTCAACTGCTACTCAGTAGTATGTATCTAATACCTAATATATATATATCATTCCAATAACTTGTATATAGACTCATACTGCACTATTCCACATCATAACTTTATTTCATTTTTATAACTATTATTATTTTTGTATTGCTCTTGCTCTTATTGTTATTATGTTATGTTATTATGTTGCATTGTTGGAGAAGCCTGTGACATAAGATTTTCAACTGCATAATTACTCTGTAGCTATGTCAGATTGACAATAAAGAACCTTGAACCTTGAACCTTGAACAAATACCACCTTAACCCTATTTAATACCATCTTAACCTGACAAAATACCACCTTAAATCTATAAAATACCACCTTAACCCTATAAAATACTACCTTAACCCCATAGAAAGGCCACCTAACTCCTCAAAAATACCAGCTTAACCAAATACAATCCCTAACCCAATAAAATACCTCCTTACACCTTCAAAATAAGTAATTTTAACACCTTAAATCTCCAAAATACAGCCTCGACCAAATAAAATACCACCTCACCCCCCAAAAATATCACCTTATCCTAAAAATATCCTCCTCTACCCTCCAAAACACCACCGTACCCTCCAAAACACCACCGAAACCCAGAGTACAATATCACTGCTCAACAAAACGACCCATGATATGTTTCTGGTTGTGAATGAATGTGTTCTTCTGTCAGAGAGCTGTGGAGAATCTGCCTGAACATTTGGTTTGAAACGTCTTAAATCTCCTCTCCCAGAGCTGCTGCTCGGATTTAATCCTGCTCCGCTAACGCTTGGCTTTGAGACGCAAGCTGTTTGAAGTGCTAATCATCCTGCTGCGGCTAGCTGCTAGCCTTTAGCATCTACTGTTTGAAATGCTAATCCAGGAGAGGAAGAAGAGACGGTTATGAAAGAGGCTGCAGCACATCTCAGAGAGCAGCTCTGCAGATTATCATAACCAGATGAAGGGCTTTCCTGTCTTTCATTCGGTAGCTATGCGATTCCTTTTCGTCCAATTAAGAAGATATTATTAAGGGTTTCATACGTTAGAAACAAATCACTGAAGGGAATAAAACATTACATTTACAAAACAATGAAGATATCTTTTTATATTATGAGATATATTCCCCAATAACTAAAGATGTTTCTTATTATAATTGAAGACCTGACAAACTTCTGTTTCAGTTTAGTGTTGTACGTTCTTTCTCCCCTAATAAATGCAGCTTGTTAACACATTAAGTAAAGAAAGAAAGAAGATATTCAGATATAATAATAATAATAAATTATATTTATAAAGCGCCTTTCAAGGGACCCAAGGTCGCTGTACATGGTGGACAAACAAAACAAACAAACAATCAAAGGGCAAACAAAAAAATAAAGGAAGCCGGGGGACCAAGAAAGGGCTCGGGTCCGAAGGCCAGGTGAACAGGTGTGTTTTTATGATGATTTGAAGATGTCCAGGGAGGCAGCGTTACGGATCTCGGCAGGAAGTGCATTCCAGAGGGTGGGGGCCGCAACACTGAGCGTCCTGTCACCA